TAGTTAACAAGCACCTTAAAATAGTTAACATGAACCTGAATATAGTTAACAAGCACCGTAAAGTAGTTAACATGAACCTGAATATAGTTAACAAGTACCCTCAAATAGTTAACATGAACCTGAATATAGTTAACAAGCACCCTCAAATAGTTAACATGAACCTGAATATGGTTAACAAGCACCCTCAAATAGTTTGAACCTGAATATAGTTAACAAGCACCGTAAAATAGTTAACATGAACCTGAATATAGTTAACAAGCACCTTAAAATAGTTAACATGAACCTGAAATATAGTTAACAATCACCTTAAAATAGTTAACATGAATCTGAATATAGTTAACAAGCACCTTAAAATAGTTAACATGAACCTGAATATAGTTAACAAGCACCTTAAAATAGTTAACATGCACCTGAATATAGTTAACAAGCACCATAAAATATTTAACATGAACCTGAATATAGTTAACAAGCACCTTAAATTAGTTAACATGAACCTGAATATAGTTAACAAGCACCTTAAATTAGTTAACATGAACCTGAATATAGTTAACAAGCACCCTCAAATAGTTAACATGAACCTGAATTAGTTAACAAGCATCCTCAAATAGTTAACATGAACCTGAATATAGTTAACAAGCATCCTCAAATAGTTAACATGAACCTGAATATAGTTAACAAGCATCCTCAAATAGTTAACATGAACCTGAATAGAGTTAACAAGCACCTTAAAAATAGTTAACATGAACCTGAATATAGTTAACAAGCACCCTCAAATAGTTAACATGAACCTGAATATATTAACAAGCACCCTCAAATAGTTAACATGAACCTGAATATAGTTAACAAGAACCATCAAATAGTTAACATGAACCTGAATATAGTTAACAAGCACCTTAAAATAGTTAACATGGATCTGAATATAGTTAACAAGAACCCTCAAATAGTTAACATGAACCTGAATATAGTTAACAAGCGCCGTAAAAATAGTTGACATTTTAAGAGCCTTCTCGCCTTCTTCTTTTCTTGCATATCCAGCAATTAGAGCATTCCATGAGATTTCGTTCTTGGAATCCAACCGATCAAACACAAAACAAGGCTCATCCATCTTCCCAAAACGTGCATACATATCCAACAATGAACTCCTAACAAACACATTCAAGTTACAAGAATATTTAACACTTAAAGCATGAATTTGTTCCCCAATTCCAACACTTGCAGCAGAACTAGTGGCCTTCAAAAGGCTCGCAAAAGTAAACTCGTTAGGTTTCAATCCAAGTACGAGCATTTTAGGAAGCAACTCCAATGCCTCTTTAGGATGATCATTCTGTGAGTAACCAGTTATAAGCGCAGCCGTGTTGACCATATCTTTAACAGGCATTTCATCAAACGCTTTGTGGGCATCGATCAAGCACCCACATTTGCAGTACATATCACTAGTAGAAAACAGAGCATTGGCGACGGGGTATTAGCGACGGATTCTAAATCCGTCGCCAATATAACCATTGGCGACGGAATATTACCCGTCGCCAATGTTTGTATTGGTGACGGGTTATTGGCGTCGCCAATGTTTTCCGTCGCTAATACTTATTGGCGACGAACCGCGTCCGTCACCAATGTTTTTCCATCGCCAATAAGTATTGGCGACGGGATCTGTACGTCACCAATGTTCGTATTGGCGACGGGTTATTGGCGTCGTCAATGTTTGTATTAGTGACGGGTTATTACCCGTCGCCAATACTTATTACCCGTCGCCAATGTTTGTATTGGTGACGGGTTATTGGCGTCGCCAATGTTTTCCGTCGCCAATACTTATTGGCGACGAACCGCGTCCGTCACCAATGTTTTCCGTCGTCATTGTTTATGTTGTCACGAACCTCTAATTCTTAATAGTATTAAAGTCATTGCTCCCCATTCTTATTTTAAATCCCAGACAATTCATAACTTTTTGTACTTATAAGATGATTATGATTTAGAAACTAGTCTCATATCTATGTATATGTTGGACAAAAAAGAAGTTTTTAATGAATTTAGGTTTTCACGTTTTAACGGATCAAAACTATGTCCAAATTAAACGAGTTGAATTTTTATAATCTAAAGTCAAGGTAAACTGGTAAAAAAAGTTAGATTTAAAGGATTATTTTTATAAATCTAACTGGCGTTAACCAGGGGACCTAATAGTATATATTGTGATGATTTGAGGGATGTAATACAAATTTCCACGACTTGAGTGAGTAATTTTGAAATATTGAAGATTTGAGTGTTACTATTGAAATAATCCAATGATTCACTCTTAACTTAAGGATCTAAGAGGAAAATTGGTAATATTAGTTAGATTTGAGGGTTGCAATAGTGTTATGGGGATATTCCATGTTCTCTACACGTACATCATCCCGAAAACAGTTGTTCCTTCTAGTCGGGTCGATAGCCTTCCTTAAAGACGACTCGAAGAACGGACTCAGCTGATCCTATCCATATCGAAGGATCACCAACTCAGCCCTGGTCGGCTGCGAGTCCCCCATGCTACTGAAGTGACCATTCCTCGCCCGTCAACTCAGTCCTGGTTGGCTGCGAGTTCCCCATGCCACTGAAGTGACCATTACTCACCCACCAACTTAGTCCTGGTCGACTGCGAGTTCCCCATGCCACTAAAGTGACCATTCCTCGCCCACCAACTCAGCCTTGGTCAACTGAGAGTTCCCCATGCCACGGAAACGACGGCTCGACAATCGCAAGTTAACATGTTCATAACAAAGGATGGATCAACCTCCAGCTCACTCAGCCGCGCCGTCACGTACCACACCCTCCCTAAAGTGACGAATCCGCCTTTAGCTTCCTTTATAAATACAGGTATTATTTGTCCTAGGAGGAGGTTCGGTTTTTTGGCTTAAACATCTAAAGCTCCTATGATAATGCAGAAAAAACTATTCTAAATACGCCATAAAAGAGTAAATTCACTGACTTGATCATCGGAGGTACCACGGGAGAAACAAATTAACCCCGCCCTCTTACCGTTCGCATGTGTGCAGGTTATTCGTCCGTCCAGAGCTCTAAGAACTAGGCATAAAGTCGAAGCGAGAAGCGGCCCCGTATTTGAAGTGGATTTTGGATCAGTAATCTGAACGAAAAGCAAAAATTCAAGATGGTAGACGAGTTTGTTGAAGTTAATATAGGATTTTTTATACTTCCTTTTACCCAGTTCAATTTTCAGTTCAAGTAATACTATTAGAATAATTATATTGTCTATTTACTATAATATATTTTTCTAATTTAATTTTTTATTATGTTCTTGACTAATTTAGTACTATAAATATTTTATAAATATTTTTTTTGTAAAAATGTTAGTTTTCAATCATTACCAAATATAGATTATTTAGTATCGTGTAATAATATTTTAGAAAACACTCTAAAAATAATACTAATTAATTAATTTAATTTATTTAATAATATAATACTAAATAAATAGTATAATTCCTTATTTATGTGATATTATTAAAATAATTACATTATTTATGTGATTCAAAATTTATTTTATTTATTTAATTGCTTATAAAATTAGAATATAATTCTTAATAGTATTTACTAATATATTATTCTATTTTATACTATCACTTTAATAATTGGTTTAATTGGTTACCACTAATAATTGTGTATACTTATTTTATAAATTATTTTATTTTATTATTTTTAAATAATTAATAGTTATAATATTATTGATAATCATAATTGTTTAGGAAGGTGAGAAGTAATTAAAGGTTATATATTGTGATGATTTGAGGGATGTAATATAAATTTCCAAGTCTTGAGTGAGTAATTTTGAAATATTGAAGATTTGAGAGACCGATTTGGAAATATTGAAGATTTGAGGGTTAATATTGAAATAATCCAATGATTCACTCTTAACTTAAGGATCTAAGAGGAAAATTGATAATATTTGCCAGATTTGAGGGTTGCAATAGTAAGTTATATGAGATTTTGGGTACCAAAATGAAATTATTAAATCTTACAAGGGGTAAAACGAAATGTATCAACTATAAAACCCAACCATGTTCTCCAGCCCCCCTCTCTCGCGATCTCCTCCTTCTCCAAACCCTACCACCCCGCCGACCGCCCTCTCCCGCCTGCCCCCCTGCGGACCGACGCCCTAGCCCCCACCCCCCGAATTATTAAATCTTACAAGGGGTAAAACGAAATGTATGAACTATAAAACCCAACCATGTTCTCCAGCCCCCCTCTCGCGATCTCCTCCTTCTCCAAACCCTACCACCCCGCCGACCGCCCTCTCCCGCCTGCAATAATGTGTTATATATTAATTTTAGGTGAATAACAAGTTAACGTTAGCCGTAGATCCCCGTCCAATAATTACTACCAATTATTTAGACTTATAATATAAATGGACGATTCCACTATGGGTATAAAATTTTATTTTATGCCGAAATGGATCGCTTAATTTATATTATGAGAAGAAAGAATTGGAATGTAACCATAGGATCTGTCCAGTTCGGACGGGTTAGGAATATAGTAGTGCATACATCTAACTTGGTATACTTTGTGCATTTTCATTTCTAGAAAATCTCGGTCGCACGTACTTGTTGTTCTCTGGGTACAATAAGCGTATGTTGTTATGTGTATCAGACTATTACTTACCGATTTCGGTCCATTACCGATACACATAATAACATCCGCACAGTGTACTTGGAGAACAGCGGGTAGGTGCTGCCGAAATTTTCTAGAAATGAAAATGCACAAAGTATTCAAAGTTAGATGTAAGCACTACTATATTCTTAATGGGATAGAAGCCTTCCTATGACAGCCGAGAGTGTTGTTTCAAATCAGGATTACTTATCATTGAGTGTTAGCTTTTACTTGGTATGACAATGAAAATTATAGAATAGTAATTTAATTTGATTGATTATTTGTTCAAATGAACTAAAATAAAGACTATTAAACTTAAGGCGACCTATGAAATATTGAATTAATTAATTAGTTTACCTATTATACAGATGAGAGAAGTTCCTGATAAGTCATGGATTGATATTCCTATATTTCAAAGAAGAGCGAAAGGTGATACTCGATATCGAGACGGATGGGAAACATTCCTTGAGTATGCATATGCTAATCCGAGGAAGGTAGATAATGATTTGTTGTGTTGTCCATGTAGTAAGTGCAGGAATAGGGGTCTGGTGGATAGAGTTGCTATACGAAGACACTTAGAAAGATGGGGATTTGATGAAAATTATAAATATTGGAGTTTTCACGGAGAACGTGAAGATATTGAACTAGATGATACTAATATAGAAGATACGCAAGCAATGTTCAACGATATTCCAGCAGTTGCAGAAGTCAATGAAGTTCAAGAAGTACCGGAGGCTGTTGAAGTTCCTGGAGATGCAGATGATGTCCAAAATACCGAAGATGTGCGTGACACCCGGGCCTACAAAGACTTAATGAAGTTATTGGAAGACGACGATAAGGATCTGTATGATGGTTGCACTGAGTATAGTAAATTGTCATTTATTCTTCAACTGATGCGTATTAAGACCCTGAGCGGAATGGCAGATAAATATTTTCAAATGCTTCTTAATTTACTACGCAAGGTAATTCCAGACGGAGAGAATAGCATTCCAGAAAAGTGTTATGATGCAAATAAGATTATTGGTGCTTTGGGTTTAGATTACAATAAGATCGATGCTTGTCCTAATGATTGTGTCCTTTATTATAAGGATAACGAGAAACTTGAGGAATGTCCAAAGTGTGGAGTGTCTCGATGGAGAAAGAATACACGCACTTCAACCAGAAAGTCGAACGAGTCAGTGAATCAACAGAAAAAAATTCCAGCGAAGGTGCTCCGACATTTTCCCTTAGTGCCTCGGTTGCAACGGCTGTATATGACAAAAAAGGTAGCTAAAGAAATGCGGTGGCATAAAGAAAGACGTGTAGATGATGGTAAACTAAGACATCCAGCAGATGCAAAGGCATGGAAGCATGTGGATCAGACTTTTCCCTCATTTGCCACAGAGTGCAGGAATGTCAGACTTGGGCTATCTAGTGACGGATTCAACCCGTTTGGCATTATGAGTTCGGGATGGTCTACTTGGCCAGTTGTGTTAATGCCTTATAATTTGCCACCTGGTCTTTGTATGAAGCAATCATATATGATTCTTTCATTATTGATACCAGGCAAACATTCACCCGGTAATGACATAGATGTGTTCATGGAGCCGTTAATTGATGAGTTAAAACAACTCTGGGATGAAGGGGTCCCAACATATGATGCTCTTTCTTGTGAGTCTTTTAATCTCCGTGCTATTCTTATGTGGACGATTAATGATTTTCCAGCTTATGGTAATCTATCTGGTTGGTCTACGAAAGGGACATTCGCTTGTCCTGTATGTGGTCCGAACTTCGAAGGCTTTTATTTACAACACAGTCGAAAAATGTGTTATTGGTTTAACAGAAGATGGTTACGAAAAGGGCATAAATTTAGGGGGGGAAATGGGCAAATAAGTTTGATGGCCAAGAAGAGAAAAGAGGGGAGCCTCGTGAAATGTCTGGAGATGAGATTGTAAACTTGTTTGAGGGATATCCTAAATTCAATTTTGGAAAGAGCCGATTTACAAAAGATGAAATTCTTGCTCCGAGACACACTTCCATCATGAAGAGGGCACCCAAACGAAAGAGGCAAGTGCGGGGTTTAGATGTCACACATGCTCAGGATTTGCCGACAGGATGGACAAAATTTAGTATATTCTTTCAGTTGCCTTACTGGCATAAACTCAAACTCCGACATAATTTAGATGTAATGCATATTGAAAAGAATATATGTGATAACTTATTATCCACACTCCTTCAAGATGGTAAGAAATCAAAGGACGATTTAAGGGCTCGGCAAGATTTGAATGCATTGAACATCCGACATGATCTGCAAGCACAAGAAGTAGCCAATGGAAAATTTGATTTGCCTTCAGCTCGTATTACAATGTCAAAAGCTGAGATGCAGAGATTCTGTGAGGTTCTTAAGTCGGTGAAGTCACCAGATGGTTATTGCTCTAATATTTCAAATAATGTACAGGTGAAAGAGCGAAAACTTTTAGGACTTAAGACACATGATTATCATATTCTTCTTCACCAATTGCTTCCGGTAGCACTTCGTAACAACATGGCCGATGAAGAAGTAACAAAAGTTATAATTGAATTCTGTGGATTTTTTTAAAAAGTTATGCTCCAAAGTGATCAATATTGATGAATTTAAGGCACTAAAAGCAGAAATGAATGAAACCCTCTGCAAAATGGAGATATTCTTCCCTCCATCATTTTTTACGATCATGGTCCATCTCACACATCATCTTGTAGATGAGGCATTACTCGGAGGACCAGTTAACTATCGTTGGATGTATCCCATAGAGAGGTTAGTTAAAATTCAATTAAGTCTATTTACATAACATGTCATTGCTTTAAATTAACAACTCATATTAATGTTATTTTTAGATATTTGGGTTTCTTGAAACGCATAATGCGAAATCAGTTAACTATCGTTGGATGTATCCCATGGAGAGGTTAGTCAAAATTCAATTAAGTCTATTTACAATACATGTAACTGCTTTATATTAACAACTCATATTAATATTATCTTTAGATATTTGGGTTTCTTGAAACGCATAATGCGAAATCGGGCTCATCCTGAAGGTTTGATTGCTGATCATTACGTGGCAAATGAATGTATGATGTTTACCTCTCGGTGTATACAAGGTGTACATACAACAAATAATTCTCTAAATAGTAATAGAGATGGCACCTTTCATGGAAGTACCAAGATGAACAAAGACTATTCCAGAATAGACTTGAATCAGGCTCATGCCTTCTTATTGCAGAACCTAGAAATTTTTGAAGATTACCGCAAGTAAGAAATTAACTTTATTAAATATGAATTTTTTTGAATTATTTTAATAGTTGAACTCTAATTTTTGTATCAATAGACGACATGTGGAGGAGTTGCATTTAGAAATAACTGGCGCGTCAGCACGAAATCAAATTGCAAAAATTCATGAAAAACATTTTGCCGAGTGGGTCATAGCTGAAGTAAGTTAAGTGGATTTTATTTTTAATTAATTTTGGGAATAAATAAGGCTAACTATTTAACGCTAATTTGTGTTTATATGCAACATTAGGTAGAAAGACAAAGATTTGCAGGTTTGCCAGTGCCAGAAGAGATAAGTATTCACTCACATGGACCGCACTATACAGTTAAACAATGCAGCGGATACCGTGTAAATGGATGTTTATTCCAACTGCAGTACACAGTTAAACAATGCAGCGGATATCGTGTAAATGGGTGTTTATTTCAACGGGTTGGGCTTGAGGAGGAGAGAGTTACTCAAAATAGTGGGGTCATGGCTGCATTTTCTCAAGAATGTTATTCAAGCTCAACTGATCAAAATCCGGTACTTGGTGATGTAGTTTATTACGGACAATTAGAAGATATTGTGGAGATATTCTATGCGTACGGTACCAAAAATGTACGTAGTTATGTGATGTTTAAGGTCCGTTGGTGTCGTGCAGACAGAACTAGGGATGCATATGGTTTTCATCTTGTAAATTTAGATAAGGAGATATATCCCGACATGAAGTTTATGTTCGCAAATCAGGCTACTCAGTGCTTTTACGTCAAAGATCCTAAGGTGCAGAATGTCTGGGTCATATTGTATAAGGAGCCGAGGACTCTTGTTCAGCTTGCTCTTGATGAAAATCCGGACAGTTCCGATGACCCTAATGAGACGGAAGGAGAAATTTTTATTAATTACTCATACCCCCAAAATGTCAATTTTAATATGTATACCTCGCAAATTCGACTTGATATCTGTAATGTAGGAGATTGAATACTAAGATCCTTATGCAAATTTGATTTGATATTTGTAATGTAGGAGTTTGAATAAAAAGATCCTTATGCAAATTCGACTTTATATCTTGCATGTATTTATTAAATATTTAAGTTGCAGATGAGCCAAAGAATTAGGAGGCTATCTTTTCCTCGGGATCAAGAAGGTCCATCATCCGGTATAAGTATTCAAATTTTGTTGAAGTAAATAGTATTAGTGATATAAATATGCATGATATTTACTATTTTTTTATTTATCTAGGATCATCATCAAGACCATCTCCGAGTCCATTATCTCTACATGGATCCTCACCCATTGAAGGTATAAATTTATTTATTTGTATTATGTCAATTGATAAATTTATATGCTCATATAATATATATTTCTTTGTTAGATATTGCGGGGACTTCTCAAATGGATCCACCGCAGCATCGAGACGCATCGCCAGATCTAGGTATTATTTTTATATTTTTATTATTTCTTTCATTATATTCTTAATTTACATTTGTAATGTAATGATATTTAATATTCCTAATATATGTTTGCAGACAATGCTCGTGATGGATTTGGTGATGACGAGATTGAGCACGAGATGATGTCTGGATCTTCTCAGTCAGAGAGAGCATGTCTCCGCCCTTGGACTCCATCAGTATATCACATCCCTCTACCTGAAAAAGCTATTGCATTACAAAAAAAATGCGATAGGAACTTCAAAATTAGGAGAGATTATATTAAAAGAAAGGAGCGTGCCATAAAACAAAGACTAGATAAAGCTATGGCTGATCTAATGAGGGAAAGGGGTAATAATTTCGTATAAACTTTGGAGATTGCTTACTTATTTATTTATGTAAGTTTATAAGAAATTTATTTCTCTTTGTATTTGTAGGCAAAAAAGATTATGAGAAACCCGGTAGACATGGGAGTGAGGAAAAGACGAAAGTACCTCCGAAAGGGTACCGGGCCATTTTGGAGTGGAAGGGCAACATTCCTGTTGGGGATTGGGCCGTCAGATTTAATAACCTGATAGGTTGTTTAATAAGAGATCCATGCTCAATTAACATTGCTCATAACTTTGAGGAGCAAGAATTTAAAGGCATAAAGGAGATTTGGGTGAAGCTCATGGTAATTATTTATTATACTGCTTATTTCTTTTACAATTCACAATGATTATTCTTATAGTGTATTTTTTTGCCATGTAACTTGCAGGATCATTATTGTCTTGAGGACAACCCAGAGTCTTGGGATTATGTTATCCCTAAAATGGCCAAGCTTATTCGGGGTTGGAAGAGTGCTCTAAAAAATAGATATTTTACAAAAATATCTACTGATTGGAAGAGGATCTATGAGCTTGATAAGAGAGTTTATCCATTTAATTGGATGACTCTCATTATCGAGTGGGAGGGTGAGAAGAAGGTGGATTATTTTTAATTTAAGATATTATCATGACATTATTTTTCATTTATATATAATCATCGCACATACTAATAAAGTACTTTATTTTGTAGAAAATATGTGAGACAGCATCGGTGAATCGCAAAATGAAGATATACGATCACTTCTTAGGATCTACTCCTTATGCTCGGATCGAGCATAAGTATTTGAGTGAAAACCCGGTATGATCATATTATTAAAACTGATATCATGTGATTAGTTTTATACATTTACTTTGAAATTTAATATATCACAGGACGCTTTGACTATGCCCCCGGCTCTTCTTGCTAGAAGAGCTTATACACCGCCCCAGGGCTATGAAAATATAGAGGGAAATGACAAAAAAGTGGAGAAAATTAATGAATTGGTCGTAAGTATAAGATTAATTTTAGATTTGTATATACTTAATGATTTTTCATCAAAGTTTCTAACTTTTATGATATATGATATACAGGCGGCGGTGGAAGCTTCTCAAAACGAGGTCTTGACCCGTGTCAGTCAGTCTCAGGGTACAGAGGACACTCCTGTAGAGCCTAACCGCATGACCAGAGACGAGTGGATGGAAGTCGTCGACGGAGCTTACGGTTTACAACCAAGAAAGAAAGGAATAGTTCATTTGTCAAGTGTTGTAGCTAAGAAATTCACCACCACCAATAAGCATAGCAGCCAATCAGTGATCTCGACGCGACCATGTGACACATCATACGTTGTGGGTAAGATTGGTCAATACTTGTTGAAGAATGTTGAAGCCTCTTTGGTTTTAAGCTTTCTTCCTACTATTAAACACAAGTTAGGCGGTGCACAAACGACCTGGGATGTCGTTCAGCGACTCATCGATTCTCAACCCTTAAAGGACTTGCTTCCGCAGCCTATATACATGGATATCATGAGGATGGCATTTAATGAGCATGCAGCTATAAGTGATGGAGAGGTATGTATGTCATATTATATATGCAGTTATTATGAATATTTGGAATATATTCTCATATTGATTTACATTCTTTTCAGGCTAGAGGAGGTACTGTAGGAAGCAGCAGTACGATACGACATTTTGATGCAGCCGCTGCCGACGATAGGGATCACGACGATAGGGACCAAGATGACTACGATGAATGAGTACTGAGTTAGACTTTTTTGTTACTTTTATCGACTTTTGGATTGTGTTGAGCATATAATGACCTCCGGATTATATATATACGTGAAGTTATACTTTTTTGTTACTTTTGTCGATTTTTTGTTACTTTTGTCGATTTTTTGATTGTGTTGAGCATATATAGTGTGTGTGTGAATCGATGAATGATGAATGTGATTATTGTTGGATGTGAATTGATGGATGTGAATACTGTTGGATGTGAATTGATGAATGTGAATACTATTGGATGTGAATTGATGAATGTGAATATTGTTAAATGTGAATCGATGAATGTGAATATTGTTGAATATTTTATGAATATTGGAAGCAACAGGTATATATTCCCAAATGGGGCTCAAAAAGTAGCAATTTTTTTTCCCGAATTATATTCATTAGCGACGAAAAGGTCCGTCGCTAATGAACATCGGCGACGGGGAAATCAGTCGCCAACGTACATTTATCGCCGTCGCCAATAAACATTGGCGACAGGGTGCTTTCCGTCACCAATAATCATTGGCGATGAGTTCAACCCCGTTGTCAATACACATTAGTGACGGGGTGTTTTCCATCGCCAATGTGTTTTGGCGATGGCTAGATTTTCGTCGCCAATAAACATTAGCGACGGGGTGCATTTTGTCGCCAATAAACATTGGCGACGGACAACACGCCGTCACCAATGTGTTTTGGCGACTGCAAACTCGTAGTCGCCAAAACACATTGGCGACGGAAAGCACCCCGTCGCCAATGTGTTTTGGCGACGACAAGATTGTCGTCGGCCAATGTACATTGGCGACGGATGACCCCGTCGCCAATGTGTATTGGCGAGGGGATTATTGGTGACGGGCAAGTGGGCGTCACGAATGTGCATTCGTGACGGATTTGACTGCATTGGCGACGGATTTCCCCGTCGCCAATACTCTATTTTCTACTAGTGTATTAATGACTGAAATTTGGAAGAAAGGGTTGCCTTGAATCTAGAACTCATGACCTGTAGTTGCTCAGCTTGTGCTCGCCTCCCATGATCCTAAAACTCATAACCTTCTTCTCGTCGTCAAAGATTTCGAGGTGCTTGGTGCTGCTGACGGCGGGGATGCTGGAGATAAGGCGGACCTCGCGGAGGCAGCCGGCGGTGAGGGAGGAGTCGCCGTCGAGGAGGCGGAAGGACTTGACGAAGCTCTTGTAGGACTGTGGGGAGTCGAAGCGGTGGAGGAAGGAGACAGAGGAGGGAGGTAGGAGATGGGGAAGGAAGAGGAGGAAGAAGTGTGATTTTGGGGGGAAGATGACAGTGATTTTGGGAGGGGTAAAATTGGGGTTTTTAGGAAACCATGAGCTGGAGTCATGATGGAGGGGTTTGGGCAAAAAAATTTCAAAATTTTGGGGCTGCAGCACATAACCAAAAATATGAGAGGCTGGGTCACATGACTTTTTAGATTTTGGGGTCTTGAAGCAATTTTTCCAAAATTAAATGAAAAATCCATGAGCCGGCCCACGACCTATGAAACATGGGCCGGGAGTCCCAGACCACAGATGAGAGACGAAGGCCCGACTCTTGCAAAGCCGTACGTGGCTCAACCCGACCCGAATGGCAACCTCGCTTCATCAAATCGAATACTCGCTGCGTCGTGACGAGAAAAGAAAAGGGGGCTGAAATGATGTCCTTCGTCAGGCTTTTCCCCTCCCCTCGCTTCATCTCCCCTCTCTCTTCACCCCCTCTCCTCCGCCGCCGTTTAAGCTCTCCTCGCAGCAATCTCTCTGTCTCCTCCGCCGTCACCCCCGCCGCTTCCCCGGGGGCCGAAGAGATGGTTTCGACATCTCAGAGGACTTTGAAAAGTTGGAAGCCCATGTGTCTTTACTACACCCAGGGAAAATGCACTCTTGTACGCTAGCCCTCCTACTTTTCTTATCGCCCATCTACTGTTTGTTCCTTTTCCTCAGTCATATTTCCAATGTTTTTCTAGGTAAATCTATTCTCGTTGTTGAAAGATTTGATTTTTATCCACCACAAATTATCTCTTTTCCTTGGGGTTTGTGGTTGAATAAGCAACTGTAACTTGTTCACAAACCTCTGTGGGGCTAATAGTTTTCATTGGAAACCCTTTTCGCTCCGCTTAGCACTATCCCTTTCTTGGGGAATTTTAGTGATAGGTTCTATAGGAACTGGGCGATCTTTTGGAAGGGAAGTATTATTTAATTGCATAAAGGCACATGTAATATCATATTCTCATCTCTATAAAAAGCTTTCCAATATATTATTTATATGATACTGAACTAAATATATTTTTATTAATGTATGGAGTTTTTGTCGAAGTAAGTATATTTGGTTGAGGTTGTTGTATGCAATGATATTTTCTCGCATGATTTCATAGACAGTATTTAATTTAACTATTGTTCTCAAAAGGTATACATAGCCTAGGATTGTGATAAATCAAGTCGAAGCAATCTGTAGGAAGTTTCTTCACGCTAGTGATGATAACAAGTGCAAAGTTCCTCTGGTGGCATGGAAGACACTCGGTTTCTGTGTTTTAAAAGCAAAAGGCGAGGTCTCCTATGTCACATAATGCGAGAGGCGCCGAAAAATACGATCACATGAGTGAACCAAGGCGATGAATATTCCAAAAAAAAATCATAAGCATTATAAATAATATGTAAATATCAATAAATAGCAACAAGACAAATTAATTACAGTCATATTGTCGAAGTCACTAATCAAATAAGCCATAAACTACCTAAATGAAGTAGTAAGTAACAAATACTGAATAGTAATATTAGCTAATAACTGTTAACACAAATAATTAAGCAACAAATTTTGAACTTAAAGGTGCAAATTGTGGCATGTCCTCAAAATGGTAGAAGTGGTAAAGTACATTACAACAAAATAGCAAAAAATAAACCAAGAAAAGAGAGACACAAAAATTCAATAACAAAATAAACTTTACTTTATAAGACATCTTTTCTACCTTCAAAAATTTAAACTAGAGACAAGCACCTCGCGCCTCACATGTCTTAGGCGTCAAGGTGAGGTCATGAGGCACAAGGTCTTGAGGCACCAAAAGGCGCTCGCCTTAGTAACCTTCATCACCTGACAATATGCGAGGTGCAAAGTTATAAGATTGTCTCGCTTGAGCGACAAAGGCGCTAAGGCTCATCGCCTTTAAAACAATGCTCTATTTATAAAAAAGCTCATGGTGTTTTGGGTTTTCATGATGCGACCATTTCAAATAAAATAATGATGTTTAAACACTTATGGTCTATAGTACTTAAAGAGGATAACTTGTTGGTGAAATGGATAAGTGAAGTTTATGTAAAAAGTAATAGTCTTTGGGGGATTCCCATTAAAAAGACTCATTCTTGGGGTTTCAGAAAAATGTTTAAGAAAAATTTGCAATCTTGTGGTTGCCTCTGGTCCTCTTTTATCTCAAAAGGGGCTTATAAAACTTGTTTCCTCTCAAAAGGTTCCATGGAGGAAGTTGCTTTTTAGTAGAATAAAACTACCTAAGCACTCTTATAGTCTTATCTTTTTTGCTTAGCTTGTCATAATAAGCTTCTTACTAGAGTATCTCTCATCAAACATGGACGGGACATAAAATCCTTTTGCCCTCTCTGTGAAGAGGCTGAAGAAACTATACAATTATTCTTTGAATGTGTTTTCAGCAGTAAATTTTGGACATATATCTCTGAATTCATATGGGTTCGTTATACTCCTTGGAGGTGGGATACACTAATTCCTTGGGATACTAAGAAGTGGGGGAGGTAAAGGGATGATTGTGAACTTCAATAGGTCTACTCTTGTTGCTTGCATGTACTATATTCGAAGAGCTAGAAACTATTTGCTTTTTAGAGGCTTAAGGCCTAACATGGAGGAAATTTTGGGGCATATCAAATTCTATTGGAAAATATAGCTTAGCAAAGCAACTACCATGGAGCACTCTTTGAGCAATTGAAAGTGGTGTTTTAACTTCTGCATTCATTCAACTTTCGTGGTCAAACAGAGCATAATGAGCTATTTTGAATTTGGCCATCTATACGTGTTTAGAAGTTTATCGGGTGATTTATTTTTTTGTTTTGATTCTATGGGTTGAGAAGAATATGTATATCCTCACTATGATTTTTGTTGAGAAAGTCTTTTGTAGGCGTCTGTTAGTAATGGTTTCTCTTTGCTATTGGTGAAGGATCTATTGAGTTTGTAATTGCTGCCCATATTGGTATTGAATAAAACTTATCATTTCATACATGTTGATGGAGCTCTGTATTATTGTGCTAGGAGGTGATATGAAGTGCTTACAAAAGGTGAAAATAGGCGTGAGAGGTACATAGCAGCCGTTTAAACTCTTATTAATGAGACCATTCCGAGATTTCTTTAGTTCAACAGTTGGTAATCATCAATTCTTAGCCTTTAAGTGACATATAGTTGTCGAGGGCTTGAATGATATACTTGAATGTGTTTTTTTCCCGAATGTATTTTATTCATTTGGCTATGTCTATCTTGAATGAATGAATATCTAAACACATGCCTTGTGATCATTGCTGTCCAATAAATCATGCAATATTCTGTGGGAACATGAATCCTGTCTTTCTTTGTAATGATGAAATGTGGGTTATATTATTTTGTAAAATATACTTTTTCGTTGACTGTTATTATATTTTATCTTTAGATGGATGATGAAGTACACCTTGAGAAATTCAATCACAGTTATTTATCAGACCTTCAAGCGAATGATTCTGATGTCAGTAACTTGAAGAGTCAAGATTTAGATTACATTTTAGTCCTTGATTTGGAGGGAAAAGTTGAAATCCTTGAATTTCCCATTGTGATGATTGACTGCAGGACAATGGAATTTGTTGATTCATTTCACAGGTACCCTTACTTTTTAAATGTTTTCTAGTCAGTGATAGAATTGTTTTTTTATTTTTAACCATGAGAATTTATTCTTCGTCTTGCAGTTCATAATGTTGATTTTTTTTGAGAATTAATTTATGATTTGAAATGTGGCATGCATGTACAAAGTTATAGATACTTTATCTTGTAACACCTAACTCTAGTCTTGCTATGTTTGCCTTGCCACTAGAAAAGCTACCTCCCTTCTGCACTTGTGTAGCCTGCTAAATCTTAAGAGTCATAAAGTAGGGATTCATTGTGTAATCTGCATCAGACAATATATATCAGACACGTCGTAGGCAGGCTATATGATAGATAACCATACTTTTGATCGGTACCACTGATGTACTAATAATAGTAAGTTTTCCTAGGGTCTAATAGAATCTAGAGCTCAAGCATAGTGGATTTGATAATATTATTTTGGTGGTAAAAATATATTGGGGTTTTTACTTTGTAGTGAAGAGTAGTATAGATATGCATTTGCATATATGACTAAAGTCAGATCGAGATTATTTGGAACACTGCGTATGATGATTTTCTAAGACGAGAGACGTTCAAGGGTGCTTAATGATTAATCAAGTTATATGTCGATTAATCAAATTATGTGGAATCATAAGTTTTTCAATCTTTAATATGTATTTATTATTCATCATTTTTGAAATATATAAAATTCCTAAAAATTTGAAAATATGCTTAGAAGATTCGAGTAGTCTATTTTTCCGGAGAGCTTTGAAGGGAACATCAGATAGCTTTGAGGGGATCATCAGAGAGCTTGTAGGGAGAGAGTCAAAGGTTGTACGATCGTTTGGTGAGTTTTCGCGAGCGGCGGAAGGTCGAGCAAGCATTGACACAAGCCGGAGATATTTGTCGAAGCCGCTACATTCGAACAAGAGTGATAATATAGAGAGGAGTAGCTGAACTTTAGGAAATCTATAGGATTAGGGTTCCTTTTACTTTAATAGTCGAGTCGGGTTTGGGGTAAACGGGTTTAACTTAGAAAGGATTTGAAAAATAAGCACTCGCATGAAAAAAATTATTTAGGCGCTTTCTAAAAAAGCACCCTATTATGCGGATGATTGTCTAATGAGACGCTTTTTCCCTAATTGGAGCAGTTTCAACCCGCATATGTATAAGCAGCCGCTTAATCTGCATTTTAGAACATTGTTCATTCGTATTTATATATTTAGTCTATGATTCATGCCTACTTTTATTATAGTTTCACTATATGGTGGAAAGGCATTTTAGACAGATTCGATGATAGAATAGAGGTTCAGGATTGTCTATTAGTAATACTAATAGATTATAGAAGGGAGAACTTATGCTAAAATCAACTAACCTTGCTATGGGACACGGTATGTGGTAGTCTGACTGACAAGGTACATAATTTAGTGCCTAAAATTTTATATTTCTACAAATTTTTTTAGGCCTACATATTTGGTAAATTGCTACTTTTTATCCTCCTTCCCCTGTCCTTATTAAAAATTGTGACCACATAACATTTGAACGGTTAGCATTGTAACCATCCAAGCCCTTCCCCTCCCCTCTTGAAAAACCAACTCAAACTCATCATAAATGTTAGTAGTCTAAATCAAATTTAAGTGTGAAACTATAAATCAGTAAGATTATACCTACCTACTTTACTTGATGTAGCTAGTAGTAGGAATACGAAACATAATTCCCATGGCTTTGTTATGTAAACTTGAGCGTAGGGCAGCAACTAATGGTGTATAGAGGCAGTGGCTTTGTTATGTAAACTTTGAGTGTAGGGCAGCAACTAATGGTGTAATAGAGGCAGTGGATGTCTTTTTAACTTTATATATCACATCTCCAAGACAGGCTTATGGATGCCAAATTTCCATATTTTAACTATTTGTAGATTAGTTAATTTATTTGCTTAAGAAGGTCCTCTTTCTTCCTTCTGTTCTTCCCTTTTTCTAGGCGATCAGAGTGGCTAAACTGCACCCTCATTGTGCATTAAATAATAATGCGTGGGTTTGAGGATCTTTCATCTTTTTCTGTTCTTCTGGACTGTTCTTGCATGAGCCCTTCGGCTGCTCTTCTAGGACTTGCTATCCTCAGGTGTTTTAATTGATTAATTCTATTAATTACAATTTTAGTTTTTTTAACTCAATGCAAATGTTATATAGGTATGCTATTCTTATGTCTGACCACGGAGATTTGTGATGATTTCTTTACCTTTGTTTTATTTACTAATGCAATTATTATTATCGTTTGCTTTTATTTTTGTTATAGGTTTGTGAGACCAACTGAAATGGGTCAGCAAAGAATAAATGAGTATATTAAAGGGAAATATGGAAAATTTGGAATTGATAGGTATGTGTTCATGACCCAATTTTCTCCCAAATGTGTTATTTTTTCTGGACAACTAAGTTGCTATGACCTTGTTAATTTAGTATCTTTATATGACTAGCTGAATTTATTAGAAGTTTCATTTATATGCTAATCTTTCTCCCTTGTGCTGTTTATATGTTGTGACCTTGAAAATCATATTTTCTTTTGTAGTTCAGTGAAGAAACTTTTGATGTCAAATTTTTAACCTTTACTAGATACAATTCTTGATTCTTTGGATTCTTGGTTATCTAGAAAAGGTTGTGCAGCAAGCTATATTTGTTTCTACCATTTTGAGCCTTGGGAGTGATCAGCTACTATTGCTAGCATTGTTTTAAATATCGTATTTTGTGTAAATATTGGATGACCAAAATTCATATCGGATTGTGGAAATCAGGGATATATTAGGGATATGTAGTAAATAACAGGGTGTCATATTGGATGTTCACACGTAATTGAATATTCTAATATGTTATCTACACATATTTAATAATTTCTGAGTATAAAAAATTGTACAATAAAAAATTGTACAATAATTTCTGAGAGAGAAAAGTGAGTGAAAAGAGAGGGGGACCTTGCTGGTGGAAAGCAAGACAATGGAGCGCCAAAAAAGTGAGAGATGAGTGCCGAAATTGTAATTGGTAGAATTTTTTTTTAGATCAGCTGTGATTTCTAAAGCAAATGGAAAGTTTTATTTAGTATTTGGGTCGGGTTGGAGACCCCAAACTAATCCCAAATAGAGAAGACCTAAACAAAAAACCCAATAGCAGCCTATATTGCGAATATTAGGTTTATTGGATATCGGTTGATATATCAGAAAAAAGTTCTAAAAACTAAAAATGATATAAACTCGTAAATAGCATTGCGGGCTGCTGTGAACCCTGATATATTGGCTGATATAGTGATATATAGGCCGATATTTTGTACCTTGATTTGTAGGTGTCTAGAAAATCTTGTTACATACTATTTATAAAGAATACAGTGAGGGTAAAAAATGACTGAAGGAATAGAAAAGTTCCAAGAAGTTTCCTATATTTGTGAAAGAATAACAAAAGTATGAGGGTAACATGGGAATTCTAGTTTAAAGTGGCAACACCTTTTATGTTATATGGACTCTTATCTATGTTCTTACCTTGAGTCTACTTTTTGAAATATGAAATTTAATTGCATTTTATGGTGAGTATCGCATTATCTTTTTTCACCACGATTTGACTAAATAAGTACACTTAGATGTATCATTTAGGCGGTGACCTATTACCTAAGTTGCATGGAAACGGGCATGGGTACTGGTACGGGTGCGGGTGCGGGTACGAGACATGGCAAAACTGTAAAATGTAAGGTACGGGGACACAACTACATATATATATTGAATTAATATTGTACATAATTTTTTCCCCTTCATGTGTCATTAGAATTAAAATTCCGATCATATTTTTGAGTTTCTTTTATCATATTGATTATCATGAATTGTAAACTACTCATTTTTTTATTAGACATCTAAAGGACCCATTAACTATATAGTTTTAAACTTGGGTATGGACTGAAACGAATCCGACCCATATCTCATTAGTTTCAAGTATCTCATTAGTTTCAAAAGACGGATGTGAAGTGTAAGCTCTACGTCCAGGAAGTCTTTGACAAATGTTTTAAATTAACACATATATCGTATTGTAAGCTCTACGTCCAGGAAGTCTTTGACAAATGTTTTAAATTAACACATATATCGTATAATTGAGTACATGTTTAATAAATGCATGCATATATTCAAGAAGTGTCCATGAAGTTTGGATACGGGAAAGTGTCGGGTACGTATCCGGTACGGGTACGACTTCATTATAGAAGTACCCGGGTAACATAGCCTATTACAATATACAACAGTATCATTTAGCATTAAATATTATACGAATAAAAAATATGTATCAAGAATTAAAATCATAATTTTGATATTTACGCTATTAAAATTATGTAAAATTACTTGAAGTAAAATACAAAGAAAATAAAAATTTATTAAAAACAAAACAATTATAAGATTATTTAGTAAAACTATGATATAAGTTTTAAGAATAATTTTACTCTTTAGTAAATTAACAGATAATATGTAAATTCTTTTAGATTATTGAAGATTTAATGTGAATGAGAAGTATATTTTTATATGCGCCTTTATTTATACTTGACAATTGGTTTGTTACATCAATCTAATATATAATTTTTATAGTGAGAGTATCTTATCATTATTGACTATGTAAGAAGACATATATAGTACTTTACCCTTTTTTTCTGTCAAGTGCATCATGCACGTACAATTCTTCTATAATTATTGATTTTTATGGTAGTGTTGTGCATATATATTTTACATTAAAGAGCTGAAATGAAATCCCTTAATCATCTACTTATGATATAAGGATTTTTAATATAATTTTATTATTCATTAATATACTTTTATTAAGCATTACGTAATAAATCAAAATGTTAGGGTCTTTTATAGGGCTTTTTTCTAGCATTATGCCTTTTAGGTGCTTCAAAATTTATAGATGTCCCTTAGTCGCTGCTATATAAGGAAATTTATGCTTATTGGGAAACATGTGATATATCGCTCAAAAATTGCCGAAGGCGGTAGATTGTTTTGTAAGAAGCCATATAAAGACATATCAATGAACTTATCAGTTGATATCCATGTTGAGGATATATATTGCCCAAAAATTGCTAAAAAGTGTTAAAAGGATATTGAGACAATATCGTTTTGTAGCAAGCCTTGTTGAATGATATATCAGCTAATATATCAACTATATTTTTGGAAATTTAAAACAATGTTTATCACAAATATCTATATATGTAGGTTAACTTATCTTGTGAATTGGGTCGTGTTCTAAAAGAAAAATGTGAGGGCAATGCGATAATGTCCTTGTTGCCTAAGGCGAGAGAGGCCAAAAAGGGTGATCACTTGAGTATATCAAGGTGTTAAATATTCAAAAAAATTCAGAAACATTATAAATAATATGCAAATAAACACAATATAAATAAATTGCAAGTGAACAAATTAAACAGCTGAATTTTCAAAGTCACAAATTATAGTAACTAGTCATAAAACACCTAACTAAAGTAGTAGTTGACAGAATAGTAATAATAACTAGTAACTACCAGCATAGATAATTAAAGGGCATAGTTTGAAGTTTCAAATTATGACATGTCCCCAAAATGATATAGGTGATAAACTACATTACAACAAAAATAATAGAAAGTCAATCAAGAGAAAAGAAACAAAAAACTTTGAAAAAAAATAAATTTTACTTTATTGAACAGCTTTTGCACCCTAGGAAAGTCAATATAGATGCAGTCACCTTTTGGGCCTTATTGCACAAGCCTTGGGTGAGCACCTGAGCTTGTGAGGTGCCAAGGTGACATTTTTAAGTTGACATTTTTGAGGTGCCAGTAGGTGCTTGCCTTAGTAACTTCCATAATACCCTAGCGATATGCAAGGAGAAAAGCTACAATATCGCCTCTTGAGTGGAGGAAGAAGATATGGGTTCTCTTGAGTGGAGGAAGAAGATATGGGTTCTCTTGAGTGGAGGAAAGAACAAAGAAGGCAAGATAATTTGGGGTTAATGAGAGTTTAAATTAAATAACATTTTTAAGAGAATGAGGGCCATTCTGGTCATTTCCCGTCATGTGCTTTACAAGTGCCCTGTCAAAGTTGACAGTGTTATTTTAGGGGTGTTAAGTGAGACAAGTTCATGGGGGTTAAGTGAAATAAACAACGTTTAGGGGTTTATGTGCAACACTTCCCAAAGTTCAGGGGGTTAAGTGAAATTTACCCTATTTTATTGATAACTTTTTATTTTACTTGATATTTAGCCACATTGGAGCAATGAAGCAACCTTCCAGTTACTTTTGGTGGTTGAATGTATGGAAACTTTCATTCTTCATTGATCTCTTTAATATCAGTCTAGTTTAAATATTTAATTCTTTGTTAGCTAGTGGAATTTTTTTATATTAGTTTATATTCTTATTTATGTTTTCAAACATAAATGGCTCATGTGGCGTACAGAGTATGGCATGATACAGCTATCCCATTCAAAGATGTAATCATGGAGTTTGAGACATGGGTGAGCAATCATCATTTGTGGAAGAAAGAATCTGAAGGCCCCCTACATGGAGCTGCGTTTGTAACTTGGTTAGTTAATTCTTATTAAAAATAGATCTAATATCACTAACATTACACATCCTTTGTGAAACTTGATCTTTTTTGTGATTTGTCTCGTATGCAAAGGCATCTGAGGTTATCTGTAACTAATGGATTTGAAGTCAAAAATCTGCTAGTTGCATGCAGCTTCACATTCATTTGTTCTATTTTTCCCGAGTCCCCATGAGTTTTTACATGTGAGATTAAAGATATATCAGACAATTTTTCTTTTTTGGCCATTGATGACTAAACCTAGAATATGCTGCAGATTTATTTTGTATTTTAAATCACCCAACTGCATCTACATTTGAAAGTCTGCTTGTGAAAAGATGACATCACCATAGACATACTTGGTGTGGATGTTGCTTTGGTTGTTGAAATCCATAAATTTAATGTTTCTCTTACTTTTCTGTTTAAGTGTATATGTGTGTATATATAGTGTGTATATTTATATATGTGTGTGTGTGAGTGTGTCTATGTTTGTGTGTGTTGCTATACTATTTCTCTGGTTTGATTCTTTACGCATTTTTTTGCCTGTTAACTACCATCGTTCTCCCTGTTAATGACCTTTCTTCTCCATATTAACCTGTTAGAAGCTATCTAACCACAGTGGATGATCTGGATAGATTTAGGTTTGCAGTGATTTCGGTAAGTTTTCAACTGTGAGTAACTACGATTGACAATGCTTGGATAAGGTTCGAACCAGTTTAATTATGTCTTACAACTACTGATTAGCAATGGGATCATTTTCTAAATTGACATATTTTAACCCACTATTTTGTATCATCAAGTTAAGCTTCTCTGCAACATCTGCCAAAGAAGTCAAAATTGTCATTTTAGAAAGTATTTCACTGTGCAAGTATGATCAATGGTGCAGTTCCACTAGATGCTTTATTTGCTGATTACAAATTAATGGTAATAAGTTTCTCCAACATTTTATTATAGGTCTCTTCAATGTCACAGATGCACGTGTGAGTGTCTGCTTATCAATATCGCTAACTTATCTGATAGGGGCATGCAAGGATTTATGTCCAAAGTAGTAGATGCCCGATTATGGGGGCCCAACTTGGAAAAATAACGAAGTATAATGTATTTTTGTTATTAATCTTGAAATGGGTTCTGGTATAATACTTAAAGATAATTTAATGCGAGAACTTAATATTATTTCTTGACAACTGTATGATGCTTGAAAGCAACACAGTTAAGAAAGTGAGAAGAACTTGGAGGAATTTTGAAGTACTATTGAGGAACGTGCAAAGACCATAATCTTCATTCAAAAAATAAGTCATTTCTTGTAGATCAGGTTACATGATTCTTTAGCTACTATGCTGATTAATAAAGCATTCCTCCAAGCTTCACAATGAACTCTTATTAAGTATGACCTTTTACCTACTGGAATTGATTTTTAACAAGTCCTAAATCACTAAACAGCCGTAATCAATAGAAACTGGAATTGTTACTCCATAAAGATTTAACATTAAAAGGTAACTTGTTTTTTCATATATTTATGCAGCAGTATCATTCTGGCCTACTTCACTATGCCCAGCTTCCTGTCTCCCCTATTTCTGCGTATTTATGGATTCCGTCTCTTAGAAATTTACCTTAAAGTCTCAGGAGGATTTGATGTATAAAACTTCTTTCCTTTCAGCTATCTTTTTCCTATAATCATAAGAGTATTTAATTTCCTAGGTAATTGAATGAAGAATCGGAAGTAGATAAGTAAACAGTGGTGGTTGGTTTTGAGGATCTGTATCTGCTAGCCTATCACCTAACTGTTAAAAAGGCCAGAGGAAAAGGTTTCTTCGGTGTGTTTTACTATTTAAGTTACATAAGGTTGTTCTCTTCCAAGTCATGTCAGTCACCTTCTTGTGTATCTGGTGATTCTGGTTCTCAAGGGCCATCAGATTTTAGGATATTTTTGTTTTCTTTTATTTTTCCATTGTTTCAATTGTTATTTGTGGTCGTAGTGCACAAATATCTCACTTCTCTTGATAACAGTGGTAATTGGGATATAAAGACGAAGATCCCTCAACAATGCAAAGTTTCCAAAATGAAGATTCCTCCATACTTCATGGAGTGGATCAATCTGAAGGACGTTTACCTGAATTTTTACAATAGAAGGGTAAGCTAAAAAGATCTGCTACATTCATAATGCGAGAAATGTTCTTTTCTTGATGGTGGTAATGGAATTAAAACTGGAACTATGTGCGCCATTTAAAGGCTCTTTTGATGCTTGACAGGCAACAGGGATGATGACAATGATGAGAGAACTAGAGATTCCAGTATTTGGTAGTCACCATCTCGGGATTGATGACACTAAAAATATAGCAAGAGTTGTTCAGCGCCTCCTCAGTGATGGTGCTCTCTTGAAGATCACAGCAAGAAGGATTTCCTCTGACCCAGGTGATGTGAAATTTCTATTTAAGAATAGAATCAGATGATGTTGTCCGATTTCCTAGTAACGGAGCCTAGTTGTTGAGAGAGATTGAAGAATGCAACAAATTTCCTCTGACCCAGGTGATGTGAAATTTCTATTCAAGAATAGAATCAGATGTTGTCCGATTTCTAGTAACAGAGCCTAGTTGTTGAGAGAGATTGAAGAATGCAACAAATTTCCTCTGACCCAGGTGATGTGAAATTTCTATTCAAGAATAGAATCAGATGATGTTGTCCGATTTCTAGTAACAGAGCCTAGTTGTTGAGAGAGATTGAAGAATGCAACAAATTTCCTCTGACCCAGGTGATGTGAAATTTCTATTCAAGAATAGAATCAGATGATGTCCGATTTCTAGTAACAGAGCCTAGTTGTTGAGAGAGATTGAAGAATGCAACAAATTTCCTCTGACCCAGGTGATGTGAAATTTCTATTTAAGAATAGAATCAGATGATGTTGTCCGATTTCCTAGTAACGGAGCCTAGTTGTTGAGAGAGATTGAAGAATGCAACAAATTTCCTCTGACCCAGGTGATGTGAAATTTCTATTTAAGAATAGAATCAGATGATGTTGTCCGATTTCCTAGTAACGGAGCCTAGTTGTTGAGAGAGATTGAAGAATGCAACAAATTTCCTCTGACCCAGGTGATGTGAAATTTCTATTTAAGAATAGAATCAGATGATGTTGTCCGATTTCCTAGTAACGGAGCCTAGTTGTTGAGAGAGATTGAAGAATGCAACAAATTTCCTCTGACCCAGGTGATGTGAAATTTCTATTCAAGAATAGAATCAGATGATGTTGTCCGATTTCTAGTAACAGAGCCTAGTTGTTGAGAGATATTGAAGAATGCAACGACTCCCTTAAATGTATATTACTTCATTGTGCTAAGCTGAGTTCAACAGCATTCCAGCGCAGTCCCATTATAATAGGATATTTAGGATCTTATTAACTTGTGTGCTGTCATTATAGAGCAACCAGTTGCAGTCTGACTCACTGAGCATAACCGCTACCTATACGTCTTTCTTACATGAGCAACGATTGATCTTCATCAGTTACAGCTTCTACTAATAGGAAACGGTAAGCTAGGTTCTTGTACTTCATTTGCAATTTTATCTGCATATTCGGTAATTTACAGTTTGGAAAAGAATGTGGTACTTCATTTCAATAAGAAAAGAATTCATGATCCTTTCAGTTCTGTGTTGTCATAAGAATTATCTAGTGGATAAATCTCAGACACACAAACAGTACATGTTAGAGATGCCTTAAATTCAGTATTTAAACCTCCAGTCAGCAGCTAGCGTCTATCATTGACAAGCTGCATAGTACTCTGCTGTTTTAATATTTACGTAAAAAACTTCATATTGTAGCAGGCCACATGTTATGGACTTCGGTTGGTTACTACGGTCCCCTCGTTGAGGTTTCATTGTCTTGCCTCTCCGCAGTCGAGAGAGAGAGAGAGAGAGACGACATCAGTATAAGTTCAGGCAACCTGACGGGCACTAGAATTTCAGCATGCTTGCTAATCTTGTATTGAAAGGAACTTGACATTGCCAGTCTGTTTCTGAGAAACAGGTGTGCTCTTATTAGAGTTTCTTCCCCATATT